TGGCGCCGGCCGGGCTGGCGCTGGAGGATCACTCGCTGGAGCAGGTGCAGTCCATGGTGCTGGGCGAGGTGCTCAAGGACATCGAGACGGCCTGCAAGCTTCTCAACATCGCTGCAGGTGAGCCCTCCTCGGCCCAGGCACCGGGTGGGGCTGGAGGGCGGGCAGAGGGCCCTGCTGGCAGCCCTGGGATCACCTTGGCACCCAACAGCTGCAGCCTGGCTCTGTACCCACACTGCTACCCAGAGTCCCCACTCAGTAGGCACTGGGTGAGGTGCATCCTAAATTTGCTGCCTCTTCCTACTCTGTTTTCCTCTGCTCTGTGCCAGCCTCCTGCCTGCCTGTCTGCTGTTCTCACACCACAAACCCCAGGACCCTTGCACCTGCAGGTCCCTCAGCCTAGAATCTTCTTTCCCCAAATGCCTGCCTGACCCCCTTCCCAGCCCCTGGCTCAGGTGTCACAGCACCTGATCCCCCATCGAAGTTGCTCCCCCACCTGTAGCTCACCACTGCCCTCTCTCCCTCAGTGCAAACTTTTCATCAGCCCTGCTGCTAACCCTCTCTTGTTTACCATCTGTCTCCCTCTACAACACACGCCACTGGGGCAGGGATTTACCCCTTGCTTGTTCGTTTGTACGCCCCAGTGCCCCGGATGGCACCTGGAGAGAACAGCTGCTCAGTAAACAGCCGGGCAGCTGTAACCCTAAGCACTCACCCCACCCCAGGCCCTGTTCCGGGACCCTGAGTGGGCACAGAGGTGCGGAGGTCCCTGTGTCCTTGGGCTGGTGTCACGGTGCAGAGATGGGTCGTGAAAAGCAGACCCCTTGTCCCCGGCATGCGTGGTGAGGAGGGGCACGGGAACCGAGCATGCCAGCCGCTGCCAGGCGGGGAAGGCGGCGTGGGCCTGGCTTGTCTTCAGCTCTCCCGTGTGAGGTAGCTCTGCTGGTGGCCCTGTCCTCTGGCTTCACCGCCCTCTGTCCCCCAGGTCCCTGCGCCCTCAGAACAATGGGGACAGAAACAAACGGCTTTGACCTGGGGGAGGAAGTGGGCCTACAGAACAGGAGGTCGGGGTGTTCGTTGTTTTTCACTTGGTGGCTCTGCTGTAACCGCCGGCCAGCCCTGCCCACCTGTGTGCCCTGCCAGAGGTACCAGGGTCCTAGCCAGGGGCCGGTGAGAACCCGGCCTCAACACGTGTGCACGGCACAGCCGCCACGCACCCAGCCCCGTGTGAAGGCGGCCTCCGCAGGCCTCGGTTCCTTCTCTGTGAAGAGCCAGGATGGAGGGATGTGTGCGGGGGGGGGGGGTCGTGACACCAGGAGGCGCAGCTGGAAAACACGGCATGGACCTCATTACGGTGTAAAGGACCCACCCCGACATCGCGCACCACAGCCCGTCCTGCTCCCAATCTCCACAGCAGCTCTGGTGTCCTCTTCCCTCAGGGCCCTTCATTGTGTGTTGTCCTGGCTGCCTACCGGAAACTTTTTCCTTTCATGGTCATTTGGACTTGGAGGAAGGGTCCGGGCCCACCCAGTGCCAGACCCGGTGAATAGGGCGGACAGGGGCACCGAGATGTTTTTACAGCCTGCTTTCCGCTGGATGGCGCTGGGCAGCGGCGTTCACCACATTTTTGATCACACCTAGACGTGAGAGAGGACTTCGGAGCTGCTTCGGAAAGGACAAGAGCAGTGGATCAGTGTGTGTGAGGGGACTCATGGCGATGTGTCTTCTCCTGTAGTCCTTTTTAAATGTAAACCTCAGTGTATTTCGATCATGCCCAGTAATTTCCTGGTTAGGATTTTCTCCAGTTCTCGAGGGGCTCAGTGGACGAGGAAGTAGCTAAGGAGAAGCCAGGTGTTCCTGGCTTAATATCCCTGCCCTTCCGGGCTGCTTTCCAGGGGCCCTGGGCCTGGGTGAGCCACCGGCTGCCCCGTCCTGAGTCACATTTGCTTTCAGTGTCCCCACTGTCCCCTCTGACTCCCCTCATTTCTGGGGTCCCTGCCCCTCCCTGGAGGGTCCCTGATGTCCCGCCCACACTGGCTCAGCGGGCACAGGTTCTGGGGCACCCGCCCGGCGGGAGGGTCCCACCTGGAGCTCAGGGATGTCTCTCCCCAGACCCGGTGGACTGGAGCCCCGGCAACGTACAGAAGTGGCTGCTGTGGACCGAACACCAGTACCGACTGCCCCCCATGGGCACAGCCTTCCAGGAGCTGGGGGGCAAGGAGCTGTGTGCCATGTCAGAGGAGCAGTTCCGCCAGCGGTCACCCCTGGGCGGGGACGTGCTGCATGCGCACCTGGACATCTGGAAATCAGGTGTGTCGGGCTGGCCACGACGTCCATCCCCTGGGAGTGGCTCGGCCCCCACCTGGGCTCCCCTGGGAATGCAGCACCAGGTGCAGCAGCCTGCCTGGGTCCTAGGGGAGCCCACCCACCCGACCCGCTGTTGGCCCTGACCAAGTCCTCAGAACTTGCTCAACACGCCGAAGTTGAAAGGTAGACATCAGAGCCAGGCACAGCGGTGCACACCTGTAATTCCAGTACTTTGGGAGGCTGAGGCAGGAGGATCACATGTTCAAGTCCAGTCTGGGCAATTTTGTGACTTAATGAGACCCTGTTGGGCTAAGGATTTAGCTCAGTGGTTCCATCACCTGCCTTGCAAGCACAAGGACCTGAATTCAATTCCTGGTACCAAGAAAAAAAAAAAGAAGAGAGAGAGACCCTGTCTCAAAATAGTAAATTCAGCCCTCAGGAGGCTGAGGCAGGAGGATGCCAGCCTGAACTAAGACACTGTCTTAAAAAAATAAAAATAAAAAAATAAAAATGGCTGGAGATGCAGCTCTGTGCAAAGGCCCTGGGTTCAATCCCTGGTACTGGAGAACAAAAGAAGGTAGAAGTCAGAGCACAGAGATGTGGGAGCTGAGGGTGACCAAGGATATCAAAAAGTTCATTTTAATTTTCAAAGTTTGTTTGCTTTGCTTCACTTTTCACTGAAGGGGTAATAAATGTCCCAGTTTAAGAAGATCTCAGTGAAAAGCAGTGCACAGTGAGCAAGGTTTTTCCTGTCTGCTGCCCCCGCTGCCAGGTACTTCCTGAAGCAGCCAGTGTCGGCATTTTCTGGGTCCCTCCCCAGAGAACACCTGTGCATCCCTGAGGAAATGTGTAGAGGACTCTGAACTGAAAACACCCATAAATATTACCAGACAGCTCGAGGATCTTCACCAGCAGCGAATCTTGGGTGGGGCTCCCCACCAGTATACATGCAGACGCCCTCTTCTTTTTTTCTGGTACCAGGAGCTCTAACCACTGAACTACATCCCTTCGTTTTCTTCTGAGACAGGATCTTCCCACTTTGCCCAAGTGGGACTTGAACTCTCGATCCTCCTGCCTCAGCCTCCCAGAGTGCCCTGTACTTCTCGATGACAGTGTGCCAACCTACACATTTCCATTGTCTCCATGGCTCTGGCCACCCTCTGTCCTGTGCACTGCTGGGCACTTTGCTCAGCCAGTCAAGGTCCCTGCTTTAAGGGTCTGGAAAGAGTAAGGGGACAGGACCAGGCCTAGGATCCCATGGAGACCAGCTCCCTGCTGTCCTCATGGGGAAGGGAGAGCTGGGTCTCCCGTGGAGACCTTGGAGGGCAGGGAGCGGGTTTCTCAGTCTGGACCCTGAGCCACTGCCCCTGCCCCTGTACCGCTGGCTCACAGGTGAGGAGAGGGCGCCCGGCGAACCCCAGGAACCTGCCGCACTGGGGCACAGGAGGCAGGGGTAACTGCAGAGGCTCCGAGCTCTGAAGCAGGGAAGCGAGGGGGCACCTGAGCCACCATCGAGGGCCTCTGTGGCCCCACGGTGGCGCCCCTTACCTCTCCCAACCTCCCCCTGGGCCTCTCCTGGGCCCCAACCTGCTCTGCTTGCCCAACAGCGGCCTGGATGAAGGAGAGGACCTCACCCAGGGCTATCCATTGCTGCGGTGAGCCTCCGGCAGGGCGGTGACCCCGCGGGGCCCCGGGGCCCTTGGACCCGGCCCGCGCTCCCCCGCACCTTCTGCACGTCCTGCTTGCATTTGTCCACTTTGTCCTGCAGCTTCTTCTGCTGCTCGGGCGTGACCGACTGCTCGCTCTTGCTGTTCATCTCCCGCGTCAGGGCCAGCTTTTCCTCCTTGCAGGCCAGGTGGTAGGCCTTCTTGGCGGCCTCCAGCTGTGGGAGGCGCAGGGCGCACAGATGTGAGCGAGGACATCCGTGGTCACCCCTCGGAGCGGTGGGCACAGGGCCCTGCCGGCACGGCGCCGGGAGTTTGCAGCGATGCCCCTCCGTGGGTCCCTGCCCGACCCACAG